GTAATAAAAATGCAACATCATAACCACAAAGTTTAATTCCCAATTACATTAAGCCCTTCTTGTGGCTATCGGTGATAAGTGTGAAAAGTTAACAGAAGTTGATTGTAACAATTGTGCCCATCTCCCCCTCGGTCTTGGAAGATAGCATATCTTCAATGGAAGAAATCTCTACAATACTATACAAGATGATTTGTAAAAACAGAAGTTTCAGCACAGAAGTAGACAATTTGACTTATGTCTATGAATAAAAATAAATAAAATAATAATAATTTGGTAACTCAATCCATGACTGTTTTGTGGGATACTGCTGTGCTGCAGTTGGCTCACACGTTTCGTCCAAAAAGTAGTTAATTAACTTTCCATATATTCTGTGAAGTGCTTTGACATGTCTCAATGATGTGATAGGGCGCTATCACAAAAGCAAGGATTATTATTATATATTAATATCATTAATAATTGATCTAGTCCCATTCCCCATTATTTCCTAATTTTTTCAATGTGGTGAGAAGTGTAATTTATGCTATAATTTATGATATTCATTTGAGTCCTTTTGGTTAGCCTGAGAGGATTCATTGGGTTTGACAATTTTTGAAAGTTGTTAAAGTGTGATAAAAAAACAAGGGAGCCATGGGGAGATGGTATGGAAAAAATACAGAAGAATGGAACTAAATGGAGCTCTTTCAGAGAGACAGCACAGGAAAAAAGACTGAATACCCTTCCCTCTGATCTGTAAATTTCTTTGGTTTCTACATTACAAATTAATGTTTTTCCTTTTCACATCTCCCAAATGAAATCTCATTTTTAATGTTCTCACACTTATGCATAAGATGGCAATGTCCCTAAATATACAATAATAATCGTTGCATTTGATACAGCAGCTTATCACGTCATTGAGATGTCTCAAAGTGCTTCACAGAATATACTGTAAAGTGAATTGACTTTGTATTGTGTGGGCGATACATTGCAGAGATCCAGAGATCTGATTCTGCCTGCTTTTTATCTCCACGAAAACTCAATCAGGATTGAGAGTTTACCTTTATTCAGAATGGTTAAACTCAAGCACATCGTATTGGTGAATAACTTTAACAAGTGTGTTATGTTGGACAAGGCAACTGTTGATAAACAATCACACTTTTTTGAGTATTTTGTTATCAGCAGTTTTATTACTTAACAGGTCTTCCTTGACTTTGGTTGCACCATGGAACCTCACACGGTTAAACCACACAGTCAATTCTGCACGACAACGTAGAATTGTGCAGCATTGCAAACAATTCTTATGCTTCAAACGGTTTTGTGAGATTTCAAGCTACATTCGCAGTTAAGGATTTTTATAAATTTAGCCTGAAATTGAAATTCAAGCATCCAAAATCTTAATCTGCAATCAGGAATACTCAAAATACTGAACATGAAGTCCAAACCAACCAGCGTAAAAACATCCTTATCAAAACCAATTAGGGACTCAGAAATGTACAGTACCATCCTATCTCTCCAGGGGAAGCCATGGGGGGAGTAAAGGCACTCACTTTTCCCTAGAAACTCAAGGATTCCATTTATATCCTAAATATATTTTACAAAAAATGATCATTCCTACCTGTGTTGCCAGACTTACTATCATGGAGATGAATCATAGTTTCACACCAAAGGCTTGAAATGACATCTAGTCTTAGCTTACAAGACTTTAAAATCATGCAGACATGTGGAAAATTCTTAAATTCAGTCTTAATCAGTGCCTTGGGACACGTTCCCGATACGAAAGGGGCTATATAAATCTAAACTCATTGTTGTCTGAAACCCTGTACTCTGTCCAGCGCCTTGGGATGTCCTCCCGATATGAAATGCGCTATACAAATGTAATCTTGTCGCTGTTGTTGTTGTTAATTTGTAAGCCTGGACATTTTTTTTAAGAATTGAGGAAAACCAGCTTCCAAATTAAGATTGAATCTGAGAATTTTTTAACAATTCTGCATGATCTCAATTTTTAAGACCAAGCTTACAAGCTAAGACGATGTAGAATTTTAGGTCTCATGTACATATGCACTTACGATCTTTACCCTCTGCACATGCCTTAATGAAAGAACTGCGCTGTACTGCTCTGAACATGGTGGCCAGCTGTGCACAACGCATGTATGTGTTTAAGATCATACATGTCTTCACTTCATTTAAACTGTTGGGTGATTCCAAAATATAAGTTGAGTGAAATAGATTCATTTAGTGTTCATACGGCTGGGAGAGAATTTGCTTTGCTTCCTTGGAGCAGGAGAGTAGGATTAGATTAGCTCATATGGAGAAAAACACTAATGCTGACGTAATGATGTTGAATGCCCCATTTTAAGCTGTAATATGAATGATTCTAGAGCAAACCATGATTAATATTATCGTATCTGTATTAGAAGATTATGGGTTCAAATCCAAAGTCACGTGCTGCATTGTTAGAAGTGCTGACCTCCAGATGAGCTGTTAAACTGAAGTCCCATATGCCTGTTCAGGTGGACATTAAAGATCCCACAGCACTACCATGGCACTATTTGAAAAGAGAAAGGTATTGCTCTCGGTGTCCAGTTAACATTTTCGCAAATAAAATTTTCATGCATTCATTACTGTGTACAAATTGTCTGCTGCATTTGCTTACAAACATACTGTCACTACACTTTACTGTATATTCTTTAAATATCCATTTATATGAAAGTGCTATATCTAATACAATGGAAGGATTTAAAATATATATATAATTTTTGGGCAGCCGGGTGTCTGACACATGCCCATCACCGTGCCCATTAAGGGATTTCCATGCATTCCATGCATTCTACACATGGAAATCCCAGAGATAGATTGTTGGAATGGAATGCACACTCTCTCCCGGAGGGATCCATCCTGCTTACCTAATTCCAGAAAGTATTAGGCGCAGGTTGGCAAGAACCAAGGCTTGGGGACCCAAAAGTGTGGGTTGGGGTACTGCTGAAGTCTAGCCAGCTAAAACAGCGCAGCTTGCCATTGATAACACTGGCCGGCAAGCTTTCTCACTGCTTGTCCAACTGGGTTCACCCTACCCATTAGGCTTTCGCTTGCAAAGTTAACAGGAGCTGAGTGGGATAACTTCCTATATCTAGTAGCTTAATACCTCAAACTGCATGTAGTGTCAGGAGCAACAACAAGATTTACATTTTAGGAGCAAGACTCTTCTTCAGTTTTTCTAGGCTCTATCCCATTATATTGTTTGTCTGATGGCAAACATGCAGTGTAAGCACAGCCTGCCTCAACCACCTCTTTGGTAATCCATTCCAGTTGTAAATCACCCACTTTCTCAATCCCAATTTAAAATCTTAGATACCATTACAAAGAACCCTCTGAAATGTCTCCTTGTCCAAGACTGGAGAGCCCTAGCCTGTCATATATCTGATCATAGTCTTGTTGCTTTAACACTGGAGATCATCCTTGTTGCTCTCCTTTGCACTGTCTCTAATTTCATGCTCATCTTAAAAAATACTAATAGGATAAAACTTACTTTCACGGATCATTTCCAGAAGAAAGCTTCTCAACAATTTATCATTGCACCTCAAGTCAAAGAATAAAATCTGCACTAATTCAGCATTCAGTTGATTAATCTGAATATGCCCAATATTTGGAATACATTTAACACTCATTCTTTATGTCTAAATAAATATATTTATTAATTCACATACTATTGTCCCCAATATTATTTATAGTATTCAGTATGTTTTGTAGATATTATTGAATAGAAAATGCATGAATATTTCAAAACGTATAAATCTTACAGAGAAGTTATATGGGGACTTTATAGACCCAATAAAAACGACGACCAATTTCTCCACAGCAGTTATTTTACATGCCCTTGCTTAAAACATTGATGACTGTGAGAGTGTAGTAGGATATAGGTTGATGGTTAATGTTTTCGCGCATGATAAATTTGCTAAGTTCATGTTCCCTAACAGAGGGAGATGTTGAGAGGAAGCCAAGATCTATCTTATAGAAAGCACAAGAAGCTCAAAGAGAATCAACTCTGGGCTGTTCTAGTTAAATGCAACTGACTGCTCCTTATACAGGAAAATTAGCAGATGTCTGTCAGAAGGTCTCTTGTCTGTAACCCGTAGAAACAACTTCTACAATTGGTGTATTTTTTTATCACCAAGATGTTTGACACAAGCAGAAATTCATCACAATGCTCAAGATTATCCCAACTAAACTGAGAGTTCCACATATGTATGCCACTTACATGTGGAAACGTGCCTGTGTCTGGAATGGAATGTGTACTTTCTCCCTGGAGTCACATATCCTGCTTACTTAATTCCAGAAACTTTTAGACATAGGTTGGTAAGAGCCATAGCCATTGACCCCAGATTGAATGTTGGGGTTACTCCTGGAATTTAATTACCTAAAAATACCTTTGAGGTTGCAATTGAAAGCACTGTCTGGAAACCTTCCCACTGTTTGTCTAGCATGGACCACTTTACCCATTAGGAGTTTGGCTTATAGGGTTAATAATAGAATTCCTGCCCCCAGTGATCAGTCTTCCTCTCCAAGTCTTGCCACCAAGCCAGGCTGGCTGGTTTGTCATCAGCAGTGCTTTAGATTACCACGGACCCGGCTGGCTTAGTAACTGGACTATCGAGACTTCAATAGAGGGTTGACTCAATTCTAACATTCAGGTGCTAAAGGGCAGGATAGATTTAAAAGTAAATAAAAAAGAGAAAGAATAAAATCACACAAATAAAGGCTGGGAAAGTTAATGAATATTAAGGGAGCGTTTAAATTTATTTAAAAAAGCATTCTTGACCAAATCATAAAATAAAATATTTTTAAAAATATATATACTTAACAAACAAATGTATTTATTTTTAGACAATCGATCTGCAGATTTACCCTAGTGGTATTGAAAATTTTGAATTACAGTTTATTTAGATTTAGATGCCTATTTAACAAATAAGTTAAATAAGGGAAATTGTTCATTATATTTTTTCACTGCCTGGACAGTTCCTACTTACCTTTCTTGACTGAATTTCTTTGACGTACAACGGAAGAAGGAACTCAGATTTGCCTTCCAGCCGAACACCCTGATTTGTGATTCTCAGGTTTCCCATCCCGTCCTGCAATCACAGGAAAGGAAAACATTTTATTTGAAAAATATGAGCATTACAAAACCCAGACAAATAAAAGACTACCGTTTCTTTGATAAATCATGTCTTGAACAAATAGTTTAAAGATTGCATGTAGATTATTATTACTCCCTGCCTCAATCTCTCCACCTTACCCCTTCTTTATCTGACTTCAAATCGCACCTGAAGAATTTTCACTTCGACCATATTTATAGTAACTTCCCTTCTCTCCTTGACTTGTGGTCAAACTCCCCATTATTCAGCACTCCACACAATATGAAGGACGCTGAATAAATATAAGTTATTGTTGTTATTATCCCTAGTGACAAGCTAGATGTTAATTGTGGGTAAGTAACTCTTCAATCTGTCCCTTGCCCTATCTGCTGTCCATTCTAAACCAGTTGCAGCTACATACTTACTGAGGCTGTTCAAAAAATATTCTGTGTGTTGCAAGAGATAAGTGTTCGTAAGCCCTTCTGTTGTCAGAAATTAGATTCCTTCCAGGAAAGAAATCCTGTTTGCCAATGAAAAGCCAATTTGGAGCATGAAGGATGGCAGCAGAAACACAATTGCATTGTCTTCACTCCAATCACAAGATTTTAACGTTGATGTCTACAAACATTTTTATTTCCAGATTCCAGAACTAATCTCGTCAAAATATTGTGATTGCAAAGATTGTGATTGTATTAAGTTTTTCTCCCATGATTTGATTCTCACAGCATTACTCTTTTCTACATTCTTCCTCCTCCTCCCCTAAAGTGCGATGACGGTTTATGCTGTTGTGTCGTTTATTTCCGCTTTTCTCCTCCCCTGAAAGTGTTTGATTCCCTATTATTCCTCCAAATAGGGCTTGTTTTATATTGGTACCTAATCCAACTGACTGTTATTTATGTGTGAGCCTTGACTGTAAATATTGGCAGGCTGTTTGATTGTGGGAGACATCAAAGCCCATGCTATCCTCACTGAACATCTGCCCACTAACACTTTCAAGTAAGGATTAGGAATTGAAATCCTGGTCGATTTTCCTTCTTAATACAGAGTTGCTACACCACATCTGGTTCTCTGGCTGAGACCAGCCAACTCAACACCAATTAACGTTTGAGCCTCATTTTAGCTTGATGCCTTAACTAGTCCGTCAGGGTGTTCCATTATCATTTCGGGATTGATATCATTAAGAATAATCTGTACACTGGTACAATTTGGGCTCTTTAAACTCAATAGATTTCTGACTTGGTACAAATGCCTGGCAAGCCTTTTTTCAATTATTTTTGCAAGCTATGGCTCAAATGCTATGGCTCAAGTTCCATCCAAACATAAAGTAACAATGCAGCACTTTACTGCCAGCATCTGGGATATCAACCTATTTCAGATTGAAGGGCCACTCAAACATTCCTCTCCATGATCCATTACAACAATGGCCAGTGGTTAGTGGCTGGAACTGGTATGGTGGCAGCTGGTGAGGGTTCAGCTAGCTTTAAGCCAAACCATCATGCTGAGGTCAGAGACATACATGAGAACCTAGGAAAAGGAGGAGCCCATGGAGCATGCTTCAACAGTTTATTAGTTCTTGGTAAAATCTTTTAATCTCAATTCATTGTTCTTTTCATCCATTTACATCCACATTTATACCCCAAATCGGTTGAAAATTTTCAACTGAAATTCTTATGTTTCACAACATATTCAATGTGATATCACAGCGAATCTGTTCTGAAAGTCTTATTTTTCACCCCACTTCTGCGTGAAATCATCAAAATGCCACAGAACTCTCCGTTTCTTCTCCTCCTACCCCCAAACAAAACAAACTAATGAAATCATGGAATATCATTTTACAAATCCACAGCCCTTTAAACAAAAAAAGGCAGTGGAATTAATCCAGTCCATTTTATACAGTCAGTGACTTACCTTCATGTATATTTTCCACCGTTAAAGAAAACTAAAAGTCGTTTGGAAAACCTTTAGTGTGTCTTTCACACATTGCAATGCAATGATGCAATTGACTTTGATCTTTGCCTTTGTATCATGAAACAGCAACTGCATTATTTGGATGCAAAGTCATTGTGACAAAACTGCCTCCAGGAGATTAGTCTCTCTGCTGTTCTCTCTCATCAACAATTGAGCTATTATAACATCCTTTGAAAATGAAATAGTCAAAAGAACATGATAAATGTAGCATTGGACTATATTTCAAATACATATTTCTCCATAATGTGCAGCAAATTAAAATAGTATTTGTGATTAAGAGACAGCAATGGGTCAATGGAAGATATTGCATTCTGAAACTAGCCCAAGCTCCATCAGGTCTGGGAATACTTGATGGTGTGGAGCCAAAGAGTGGAAAACTAATCTACCCTTCAGTGCTGACATCAACCCCTTAAAATCCAACAAAACTCTATTTTTTAACAATGGAAGGTTAAATATTTTAAAGATGTACATAGTTAAGTTATACTCCACCATGTTAATCAAGATGTTAAGGTTTGAATAGTAGAACATAAAAGAGGCTATCAGAATGGGCAGGAGGATGGCAAATTAAGTTTAATATAAGAAAATACAAAAAAAATCATTTTGACTGGAAAAGTACAGAAGCCGTCTATATGGTTGGAACCTAAGAGGAGTGGAGAAGCAAAGAGATCTGGGGTTTCCGAGTTCCAGTTCAGACTTGCTATTCTGTGATATCCTTGACAATGGAATAGCTTGCCTAAAGGATGGTCTGAGAGTTTTGAATGGATCTCACAGGAGACTGAATCCAGTGCAATTCACATCCACCTCATTTGCACGTGATGCTGCATGGGCACAAATCACTAGGCTCCTGTAAACACTTCTTGCAGGTGTTGCCAAATGCATGGATCCAGTGTGATTTGCAGTATACAAGATACCATATTTATTGCATGTTTGACAGTGAATAGCTGCCCAAACCGCACTGATCTACTACCAAACATGCAGTATAAACGCAGCATTAACAACATCAATAACTAACATTATTCCTGCGCTGGTCAGCGGATCTCCACTGGGTTCCAGCTTGTGCAATTTCAGAGTCAGAAGTATAAATTAGATATATTATTTCTCATTGCTTTACAGTTAGAAAAGTGAAAAAATGGACAAACTAGGCACTTAGGAAAACATTAGCCATAATTTTTGTCTTTTGTATATTGCTCTTTAGAAGAACTGTTAACTGTTCATTTCAGAGACTATTTTATGGCTTAACAAATGGCCCTCACATAAATTCACTGCATAAATTTCTCCAAACACTTAGACTTTTCACAGTAAATAATGGTTTATTCTACATTTATACCTCACTACAGCTAATCAGCCTCTGAAATGTTTCTCTCCCACATTTTCTTTTGGTCAGACAGCTGGCTGACATGTGGAAATCCGCCATCATGCATGCTTATGAGTATCCAAATAGCCTGAGAATTCCGTATATCTATGCCAGCTATGCATGGAAATTTTGCTGTCTCTTTCTCCCTGGAGAGATGCAACTAATTCTTCCATACTTAATTACGGAGAGTATTAAACGTAGGAAGACAAAAGACAAGGTGTGGGGACCTCAGAGAATTCTTTGGAATACTGCTGGAGTTAAACCAACGAGAGATTACCACTTGACAAGCTCCTGCTGCTTGCCTCGTGACGATCGCCCTGCCAATTAGGCTTGGAGGTTAACCGAGCTGAGTGAGAATAATCCTGTTCCCAGTGTATATCATTGATTGTACTGATTGGAAATGTTTGATGAGGATGTGTAACAGTCAGATCTCCAGAGCAAGGCAGAGTTTCGAAGCTGCTGCCAAAAAAGCAGGGGAACTATAATTACAAATAATAAAAGTTGATAAGGTTACTTGGGCAGTAAAAACTGAGCATAAAAACGCACATCGACAGGACAAGGATTCCTGTAGCTCAGTGGTTAGAGCATTCTCCTCGCAAGCGACAGATCTGGGTTCAATTCCCAGCAGGGCGAAACCTTGGGCAAGTTTCCTTACTCCACATGCCTGATAATAATCCCTCAAGTAAAAAACAATAATAATTTGGTCACTCAATCCACGACTGTTTGGGGGACACTGTTGTACGCAATAGGCTGCTGCGTTTCGCCCACAAAATATACAGTTCATTCATTTTACAGTATATGCTGTGAAGCACTTTGAGACGACTGGAAGACATGAAAAGCGCTATATCAAATGGAAGGATTATTTTTATTATAATCTTATTCAAAGCAGATTTTTATGAAATTTAGATAGACGCTTGAAAAAGAGGAATATTAAAAGATATTGGGAAGCACACAGGAATGTGGGATTAGACTATTAGATACCACATGTAAAGAAAAACACCAGTGCAGCTGGATGAGCCAAAAAGATTTGTTTGATGCTATAAAGTTTTGTGATGCTACAAGGAAGTTGAAATGGATATATATACTGTATGTAGCATCCTTGATATATTTTCCCAAAAATCTTAAGGGAAGAGATGAACTTTAGATTAGCCCCAAATAGCGAAGGGTGTCAACAAGGTTAGAAATTTTCAGTAACTTATACTAGGGTGACAATGTTTTGTAAACCAAATCCATATATTTGAAAACCCAAATACATATATTTAAAAAAATAAACTGACCACAATTCCTGCTGCTGGCAGCATTGGAGAAGCTTGTCAGATTAATGGCTTTATTTCTCCGATAAGCGTATCTGATTTAGAATGCTATTATTTAGAACTTGCTCTATTTATTGCTGAACTCAAGACAGGGCAGGGTCAGGGACACAATATCTCAGACAGGAGGAAATCAGGACGTAAGATCACCCTATAATCACTCCACTCTCTGGTCCTCTCCACCTTTAGACCTTTCTTTTCAACCACATTTTTGGCCACTTACCTCCACCCCCAACCCCCAAATGTTGGCAAAAATAAAACTTCATATCCTGACTCTTATCTGAACAACATGAAAACTATTTTTTTAATACATCTACTTGACCTGGATGCCCTTGATTTGAAGCTCCGCTTTAGCTACTGTTTTA